CCAATATGCCTATATACATTTATATGTGCTATGGATAGTGTCTCACTGAAAATATCAGCAAGACATCTGAAAATGTATCAGGTTACCTATGCGATGCTGGAAATTATAATGAATAGTATATAGCTAGATAAGACTACGATAAATCTTTGACTTTTCCTTATTTTAGTTGGCTGACCTTTTTATACACAAAATATTTAGAGTCTAGTCTTTTTCTAAGAAACTTTTCTATTATAGGATTCTTCGCAGGGGAACAGCATATACCAAATAGATATTCTGAAGCGAATCAAAACGAACTATCCCAGTCTTGAAGTGATTGCCGGGAATGGTGAGACCTTCTGCCTTGATAATAATGCCAATTAGAATGCTACACATCTACAAATGATCGATACAAGCTTCTATATTTTTTTTGACTAGTTGTCACGCAGGCTCAAGCCAAAAATCTGATTGACGCCGGCGCAGATTGCCTGCGGGTCGGAATGGGCAGTGGATCCATCTGCATCACTCAGGAAGTTTGTGCTGTTGGCCGATCGCAAGCAACCGCAGTTTTTAAGGTAACTGGTGTTGAATATAATGACCGCTTTTCCCTGACAACGCACTGCCAATAAGAGAATATAGCACAATGGTATCTAAGTTCTATTTTTCTAGATGTTTATGGAGAACGTATTTTATTAGGAATAAATAATCGTCACGCATTACGCCAGGTTTTTGGACTGCAGTCCCTCGTAGGCGCCCCCTCTATGGTTAGATGGAGTGGGTGGTTTACGGGCCAAATCTTAGTAATAAAGGAGGTTTAGTCTCATTCGTGCTCCCACTTTTCTGATTGACTACTTTGAAATAAGGATCTGTGCGCAATTCGCCAAGTTTATTTAGCATCACCTTTTTGTCAGTCACATTTAGTCCGCTTGAGAAACAATTGCTCTTAAGCAATGCACAATACAACAAATGCTATGAATTGGTGAGTTTACTGAATATAAGAAAATAAATCCCTCTGGAATTTATTAGGTGTATGTTTTAGGCCTTTAAAATAGATTGACATGTTTATCATAGCAAACCATTCTCAACTATAGTAAAGTAAGTCGCATAGCTTTTGTTTCCTAATAAGTTTCCTCCTGCAAGGTGGCTGGTTATTTCCACCTTGCTTTTGTCACCGCAGCATCCTATACGGTATTTAAAACCAGGTGGTTTGTGTTAAGCAGCCAAAATTTACCGCTCAATCATCGCCTATGTGACAATGGATAACAGGACAAATGCGTCTTTCCAGGCAAACCAGGACTCTTCAAATTCATATTTTATTATGGGCCACTGCTTAGCGAAATTAATTGCATTTTGAGACCTAATTACTGTAGAAAATGCAACTATCGGGCTTTTTGTTACTTAAAGCGAAATAAAATGTTCATCATTTTTGTTAATATCTACCGATTTGAAACGATTTATTGTTTAATATCTACCGATAGTTTCGATTGCTGCCCTTTTTCACACTATCAGAACTTC